AACCAAAGTCGCTTCACCTTTCGTTAACGCTGAAAGCAGTGCCCTTCTGCCTACGAAAGAGGAATCTCAGTGAAAAATACTGACGAAAGCTTCCATGTACTTATCATCGCTGTGCTAAGAGTACTTCACATGGTCTTCATATAGAACCATAAATAGGAATAGCATAATAATGCCACAGTGATCCCAATAGAAATGTAACGCATGGCACATCCTAGCGAAGCCCTAGTCACACAAGGGAAATTAACCTGCCTTGAAGTTCATTTCCGTGCTTAGATGCGTGTAACTCATAAAGGTAGGCGTGGTGTGGGTGGAAAGGAGGTGCGCTAAAGGGCTCAACATCATGTCGTATCCACGTTATGGAGCTAAGATTAGCACTGGTTCTTACCGCTGAGTAAGCGTAGTATTTCAGGCCATTTATCCATTTGCATTTCGATTCAGTCTTATTCAAGCACTCCAGTTTAATGTCCATGTGCATTTTGAGATCATTAATCATGGAACCTCCTCGGATTTTCAGCAGTTCCTTGCCGATATCGAGGCCATTCATCACCAGAGTTTTCTCTAAAAAATCAACTGTTCTTGAATCTTGAGGTTAATTTGTACAAACAAGCTACAATACTAAGCCACTAAAAACACTTGACAATTACTGCTTTATCGTTTCAAAGCCGAAAATGTCGCCATAGGATGTCGAATGGGCTAATAAATATCAAAGTGCAGTGCATTCCTATCTCGCCGCTCTCGACGCCATTCAGATGTAGCGCCCCTAATCTCGCAGTTTACTGTATGCATTCTTTTGAGACTTGAATGGTGACGATTGGATCGTTTCACCTCCTTGTGACTCTTGTGGTCTGCCCTATGAGCTGATTACCGGAGTTACTGACAAATAATGTCCTCCACATACCTTATCACGTGTGCTTTTTGAAAACACTTGTTGATCCTCATACATATTCTGATTGTACCGTTCCTTACACATCATTAACTGCTGTTTGGATTGCTCAAAGCTAAAACGTTGCTGAAGGGAACATTTTTGGGAAAAGCCTTGTGGCATCTCACCGTAGAAGGGCTAGTACAGCTCTAAGGCCAACATGGTACGCCTATTCGATATAGTTCTACATCCCAGCAAAGTATGAGCAGCGGAGATCGGAATGGTTTATTATTTTCGGTATTTCGATTTTTTTATTCCACTTTTGATTATAGGGTTTTTCATATTAGCAACATACACAGGATATTGGTTCTTTACAACTTTCTTCGAATGGTCGAAGAGCTTTTATGATTACAGCATTGTAAAATGTATTCACCATAAAAATTTTTAAGTTACAAATACTTCAATCGCAAATAACTATAGAAGTAAATGACTAGTCGCAGCCGTATTACCATTCGCAGCGGGTGCTACAACACTTATTCCTCCTCTCCACTACACTTTTATTTGAATTTAATTTTTGTAATCTGCTTGGACATTGTTTTATACTCAATATCTCTCAATAAGTATCAACAATATTAACCTTTTAACAATCAATTATCCTTTTTACATGTATTTACTACTCACATCGTGTTATATCACTCTTTCATTTTTACGTATAATTCATCATCAACTTGATAGCATGAACTTTGCATGTTAACCCCCTTAACTTTTACATTCTCTCGTTTTATCCTACTTCTCAACACCTTCTCCTATGTAGTCCATGTCCTCATGTCGTCAACCTGTCGCACTGATGAGCTCGGGGGTTGGCATTAAGCAATGATGCATTCGTGCTGCCGATACCGAAGCGAAACGGATCATCTGTGCTCTGAAGTGTATTCCTTTCCCAATGTTTGTTTTCCTTTGCTTCTAATTTGACACTGGACCTTGGGAGGTCATTAGCACACCTTGGGCGATTGCCTGTGTGGTCCAATCCGCTCCTTAAAGGCAGTTGGCACGATGATTTGGTGCTCGGCCTAAAATGCTAGTAGGGCGCTATATAGTGGGGGAAATGGCGAAAGAACGGAATGAAAAGGGTCAAAATCCTGCGAAGAAAGAGCCCCTTTTTCAATGTGTTCAAAATCAATTTTGGACGAGTTTCCCGTGGGCATCTTGCCAATAACCGCTACCGAAGGTACGGCTGCATATGTATACTCATATATCCATGCAGCATCACGCCGCTTCATACCAATCCCTTCAGCTCTATAGTTTGCTTACGCGAATTGAAATCGAATTAGCAGCGTCAAGGTACGGGGTCGTTCCGCTTGTGCGGCCGGTGGGGGTGGCGTGTTTGATTCGGAGTTGTAGTGGCTTGACAGGGCCTTATAAAGGGCACCACTTTCCTTGGGAACAAGGCTTATTGGCAGCGCCTGCTCAGGGCCGCGGAATTCCCTCCTGCCAGGCGTATTAATACTACTCGTCTTGGGTCATTTATCGTGCCAACTGCCTTTAAGGGGTGACCTGCACCTTACATCATCGCAATTGTCGGGTCGCAATCAGCGGCTCGCACTGGGCGTTTCCATCATTGGTCGCTTCCTCTCTAAATCGATCTTTACCCGATCGCCATTGGTAGAGCAACGATGCCAAACGCCCATTTGGACCGCGTTGCACAGCCGCCCTCCGAACAGTTTTTTTTTTTTTTTTTTTTTTTTGTTTTTTTTTTTCTTTTTTTTATTTTTTCCTTTTTTCCCCCCCCCCCCCCCCCCCCCCGCGGGGGGGCGGGAGGGGGCGGGCGGGCGGCCCCCCCCCCCCCCCCCACCTTCCCAATATACCCCCGAACCCCACAGCCTCGCTCCTCACTACACCTGAATGAGGACTGTAGATATTGCTAACAGGAAGGCTGAGTTTCTTGCCGCGGCTCAAAGGTGCTTCAGCGATGCAAGATGCTAGACTGTCACCCCCGCCCCCGAACCGAGCCATGTGAATAAATGGGGGGGTGGACCTTATCTGATGCTGGAACTGCTGGTGTTCCGATTTTGTAGTATTCGCGACGGCACATACCTGCCTTTTTGTGCTATGGACGCAGTTCATTCAAATGGAAAGGGCCATGACCTAGCAGGCATTCTCGGCCGGTATCGCCTTCGACTTTTTTCACCATTGCATAATTCACCTGGGTTCATCTGACACTTGTATTTAATATCTCCATTACACAGTATTTTACAGCGTAGGACGTGAAGATACACCGAGATGCCGTGCCTAAAAGACTAATAAATCTGATCTCATACCAACACAGGGATCGTTTTGTGCAAATTCTACAGTTCAAGTCTAATCCCCTCTTTGAATGACCACTCGAGAGCATAGCTAAATTTTCTGCGATGTCTGGGGTTTTGTTGATATACATTACTTCTTCGATTTTAGCACAGATTTTTCTAAACCCTCTCAAGAGCCTCATATTCGGATTCTTTGTCACTTATTGGCTCTCATGGAATTTACTGAGCTCACCGAATACACCATTTTGATATTCGTGGATTTTGTCATGGACAACAGTCATTTGCTTGAAAAGCTGCATCGCTGAAACCACGGTGGTCTTTTAAACACTGACCGCCAACTTGTCGTTAGCATGGCATTTGCTGAAATTTGGTCTGATTTAATCACTACTAACTGCGCCTTAAAGCAGCTTGGCACGATGCACGTTTCTGAACTTAACCCTAAATGCTAGTAGGGCGCTGTATAGTGGGGAAATGGCGAAAGAACGGAGTGAAACGGTCAAAATCTGCGAAGAGAAAGCCTCCGTTCTCAGTGACTTGTAAATCGATTCGGACGAAAACAGGATCAGTTTCCCGTAGGCATCTTACCAATCACGCTACCGAAAATTTACGGCTGCTATAAGTGTACCCATATATCATGCAGCATTCACCGCCGCTTCATACCAATCCCTTCGCTTCATAATTTGCTTAGCAAATGAATGAATACGAGCGTCAGGAAACGGTCGTCCATTTGTGGGCGGGCGGGCAAGGAAGGCGTTTGGGACGTAAAGTTGTTGCTCAATAGGGCGTTATAGAGGTACCCTCCTTGGAAAAGGCTTCACGCAGCGCCTGTCCGAGTCACGGAATTCGTTGAAGCCAGGTGTACAAATCCTTACATCTGTATATGACATTATCGTGCCAACATGCCTTTAGCCCTTTCCTATGACAACAATAATAAAGCCGAGAAGAAAAGCTCTACACAATACGCGGATATGGAACAAGATCCTGCGAAAATGGGAAATTTACTCTATGCGAGTATGATGCTGCTGTGTTGTTTATGTTTATTCCTTTTCGGTATTCTGTGTTCTGGCTTCCGAATTTTCAAACTGAGAGATTGTGTTTGACTATCTACAATAATGAAGTATCGTCTGGCAATCAGTCAGGGCGGGTGTTTAGGAGCAGGGAATAGCCCACCATTTCATCACTGGTCTTCTTGTTTCTCCAAATCGAGGCGTCCAGTTTACAGGCAGCCAGAGGCGGACCCATTTCCCCCCTCCTAACACCGTCCTCAGACTGCGTTTATGCTCTGCAGCAGCGTCCACCAGGAGTACGGCATTGTGTAGCAGCATGGTGCGGTTGCATACGCCACAATTTCACGATGCCTAATCCAACTGTCTCTTCCCTCCTACTTTCCCATACTCTCTACTCCTGGTCGCTGGTAGACGCTGATAGACGCTGCCGTTCGCTAGATCGATATTATACTTTCCTAGTCGCTGACGCTGACGGACGCTCGAAACGCTGACGGCCGCTGATGGGCGCTGTCAGAAAGCATGAACGCATCCTCTCTGATAGCGACGACACCAACTATACGTTTTTCCGACTTTCCCTTTCTCTTGTTTCGTTACGCCCACCCCTTTGTGTGCGGCAACTGCCGACGGCCCTCCCATTATCATCATAGTCTCCGCCCTCTGAAAGGAAGTCTGCTTGGGATGGTTAGCCTTTTACAGCATCATTTCATGATGATCCTTTCAATATGTTACTTCATGATGCGTGGAAAAGGTTTTCGGCTCTTCAGCTAGCAGAATTTTACTATTCCAACTCCAACGCAGAACTGTTACAAGTAGGTATGAGTTCAGGGTTTAACGAACATAACTCGCCTCAATCAGCAGAGCATCTCGTATTATCCAGAAATTGTCGAAATCCACTGTTTCACCGCAGTAGACAGTCAAATTTGCAAGCAGAGAAGCGACCTGAAATGAGGTACCAACGTTTTGTGACGAGATTTCTGAAATTCTCAGATCAGAAATGAAATGTGTCTAAGAATTACTCATGTAGAGCCCACATCGGTCCGATTCCTGTATTCCTGCAGTTCTTCTGAGCTCTGGGCCATACTCCACAGACGATCTTGGCGGTCACAATCAGCGTCAGGATTTGCAACCTGGACAACCAAACCTGGAAAAAGGCGAAGGGGCCCTCATCACATGAAAAGCCGGTTAAACTCACATAGTCAGTGTGGCCGTCGACCGTATGGATGGCTACTGGGACAAATCCAGCGGGCCATCCCGCTTCAGAAGGATAGTCAACATCGGAAACAGCGCTATAACTTTTCGGGCCGTACATACCAATAATGTTTGACAAAGCCGATATTATTGTCCGATTTCTGTCTGTCGAACGGACATAGATCTGAAAGATGGTTCAACCGTGAAGATTCAAGGCATGCTTATCATTAAATTCATGAAGTGGTGAGACATTAGGTTAGAGACAAGCTGTACTTTTACCTCCGGGGATCATGTTCCGTGCCGTGTGTGCGCGGAATGGGGCCGAAACTGTACTACCGTATTACTTCCATCAAAAAGCACGGAAACGAGGCTGGAGGATAGTGATACCCCGGTGCTGACTCCGCACTCCGCTGCGTTGCCGCCAGGGTACATAGGAAGGGTCGTATATTTCGGCTGGGGAGGGGGTCGTATTTGATCGTTGTTGGGAGAGGGGGATCGTATGTGGCTCGAGAGAAATTTGCCGCGTTGGGAAAAAAATTTTCCGGTTGTTGACTTTTCGCGTGATTTTTCCTGTTTCGGTTTTGTCAGTTTGCGGTTTTGGTCTTCTCAGCAAATCAACTGGGTGAAAACAAGAAAATGTGGGAAATGTCGGTAGGGTGCTGGGGATAGGAGGGGGGGGTAGTACGGAAAGCCTTCTCGCTGCTAGGTGGGGCGAGGGGGGGGGGGTCGTACTGGCACCACTATTTTACACCTCACGATGCTTACCTTGGTTGCCACGTGGCCAGCCAGGCATCGATCCATAGCCAAACGTCCTACTTGTCTGCGCCCTCTCACTTCTGGCTTTTTCTACCAGGGGATAAGTGTTCTGTTGCGGGACCTTGGCATCGCTGCACCTTCAGGATAGCGCTTGTGTAGTGTAGAGTTGCACTTCTCTACAAATACCCTACGACCCCGTTCCCTAGCAAATTCGAGCGGAGAAAGTGTCACGCTGCTGGAGGCAGACCCATTCGCTTCGCACATTGCAAGGATAGTCCGGAGCTGAGTATGCCATTTGCCCCCGAGGCGCGAGACTAGGATGTATGAGGTAAGGTGGCATTAGCTCGCACACACTCGACGTAAAGGCGCGGTCCGCGATAAAAAGCCTAGGTGATGGTGCAGAATTGAGGAAGAAAATCCGTCAGATGGACCGTCTATGAAGAGAAAATGCCAACGGAAACGTTAGAAACGCATTCGTCAGACCTCCTCTAGCCTCAAACAACTGTAGAGGTAAAAGACCGAAAAGACCGCGCGCTGGGACGATTCCCGTCGGCTGATTCCCAGTAATGAACCTGTGACTCTACAAGAGACATTGGATGCATCCACTTCACGATTTTTGTCCGGGAGCATTACTTTTGCTGAAACCCCGACATCAAGGCGCGAGTCAGCTGGAAAAGGGGATGTACCAGACTGTAACGAAACTCTGCGGCCTAAATTCCTTCAGCCTGACAACTGTCCACTCCGAACCACACTAACTTCCCACATAACCTCTTGCATTTTCATAGGCATCGCGGACCGTTCCTTCAAGGGGCTGCGACTTGTAAAATCAGTGGAAGAAGAAGCTTCTACCACAGCCGTTCTTCACACAAAGCAAGTACCACATCTGAGGCAAATTGTCGATTACAGGGCGAAGTTTCTACGCACAGTCCGTTTCTGCCTATGTCAATTACAATCAATCAATCAATCAATTAACTATGTCAATTACATCTTGCGAAAAAAAGGGTGGCCAAACCTCAACAATTAGAGCTAGCTAGCCTAGGCAGTCGTATAGCCCAGACCTTGATCCCTACGGCTACTGGTTCTCGGACACTGCTCCTCTCTGCTGGCTGTTTTTCGACCTTATGCATCACATGGACGAGCAAATCTTCACGACCCAAGCCGTATTGAAGACGAGCTGGCGCCCTACTTTACATACGTTATGCTGGCCTGCATTGTTGCAGGTATGGTATCCATACATTGCCCTGATCGCTGGCAAGAAGCCCACAATGACAGTGGTAGACACATTGGATTTTGAAAGGTTCTGCTCAATAAAAGGATGAATCTGAATCGTTCATCCCCTTTCCTTTGTGGGATGCGGCACGCATTCTACTTCCATTCAGAATCGTAGTGGCTTATTGAATGCGATGTGGCCTATACAATGACTTGCGGGGGCCAGCCGATGTACAAGTCAGTGTTTTATCCTCCCAGACGAATCTGGTACCAATTTACCGTCCCGGAGGGTAGAAGGCTTGGTTGACCTGGGCGGGAGTCGACCCGCGACTTGGACGGGTGGAGGTAAGCGCTCAGCTTGTCACCTTACCACCTCCGCCTCTTTCGTTTCTGCTCACTAATATAACTTACTCCTTCAGCCTCCTCTAAATATACTTTCTCACAAAAAGAAAAGTGATAAGGGACTTTTTCGCGCCAACTAATACAACGGACAATGGTGGTTCTTTGAAAAGCAAGCAACACGTATAAGGAGATAGAGAAAAAAAATCAGAGAGTGGCTTAAGCTCATCGGCAAACCCTTCGAAGCAGATCTAGGGCTGAGAAAATCATTTGTCAAAGTATCTCTTCCGAATATACATTTCCCATTCCCATTTGTGTCGCCCATCATTCCGCGAGATCTGAAACATGCTCAAGTACTCTCCATGCACACTACAATAGAGATCTGAGCAGAACGTTCGTGAACTGAAAAACAGACCTTTCATAATGCCACATGTCTCGCTCGATATCATAAATAAGGCTTATGACTCCCTCAAAGCTGGCCGCTGTCGCGACGTCCGGAAGGCGATTTCTTGACAGCTAGCGTACTTTCAAAATGTGAAAAGCGGCAAGAACTCGCCTAGAAGAGCTGAACTAATCTACGGCCCCGTGGACCACCTCTCATATTCTTCTAGCCCATGTCCGACCCGGTCACCGGGCTGCTAGATTTACCTAGACTAGTACCACTTCTTATCTCTCATTATAACATTTGCGCGAATGCTTTTTCTTCTGATGACATTTCTCCGACTAATCAGATACTTAGCACATTTTTTGTGCCCGCCTTATTTGAGTTGGTTTAGAACATATTCCCGCAATGGCGGGTCGAGAACTGTGCCGTTAGACTTATTAGGTCTTGACTCTGGTTTGTTTTTCTTGCTTGAGTACGGTGTATTCCTCCCATGATTACTTTTTACGCTGCTTGATCTCCCTTCACGCAAGTATTGACACAATTTGGACAAACGTGCCGCCGAGCCCGGCAAAACGTGTTGTCTGGCGCTGCAAGAAGATATGTGATACACATGCTTGTGAATGCCTTCCTATTATGGGAGGCCCCGCCCTGTGGCTTTGGATGGTCTTGGCCATCCAGAGTTCCAAGAGCGAACTAACCTATCAAGGACATAAATACAACTACATTTCTGTGGTGCGGTGGAGTAATACCTAATTAGTACATGCGGAATGTATGCACCACACGGGTGTGCCAACAGCAATTGCGGAAAAGGCAACAGTCCCAATGAATGCTGAAATGAAAACTACCTCAGACTATGTAAGTGGAACTCTACGGAAAATCGAAAAGTACTGGATGGACAATCTTTCTGCATCCGTCCCAGCATTGGTCTCGCTTCACCCAACTACCACCCACTTGATTCTCTCTAATCCACGTGCCAGCTCTGGTGAGAAGACTCGGACGCGTACTCTTTTTCTGGGCTGGCCGTTTGGTTTAAAATAGTACTGATCGTTGTCAACCATACCGCCACTATCTCTGTTTTTTATCAACGCCGTGATCAGAAGCCCCAAGAGTGTTGCAAAGGAATTACTGCGGGTATCATATCCTTCGTATCACTCAGGATTTTTCGTACTACTTTTTTGATCGACATACGCTTACTAGGGAGGTCGTTCAGGACGTGGAGCGCTTTTTGAAAACGGTTTTTTGCATGATGTGGGGTTACGTGCATGGAGTACCAAACTGGTGTTCATTTTTCCTGAACGCCTGGGAATGCCAAAAATGGAGTGAAAAAGAAGTCCATGGAAACCGACTGTTTTTGAGCCTGAATGGGCTCTAAATCACTCGCAACTTCGGCCAGTTGCTGCCTATAGGGTCCTTATAAAGGTACTGGTATCGATGAGAAAAGTATGCCGAACAAGTTAGCCAATGAGAGGTCCTACTTGTGGCACGTAGTCCCCAATTTGGAGCCAAGTCTTTCTCCCCACTGGAGTCGCTATGTACATTCGTTTGAGGGACTTGCAGGGCCATTCTGACGCCAGATTGGATTGACGTCAAGAATAAGTGTCAGAATCGTGATCAGGACCATCGATTACCCCTATAGGCAAACTTTCAGGCCAAAAATTTTTTTTGACTTTTTTGAGTTGTGATAGACCGACCATTTGGTCGTCGGTGATGACCGGAGACCCACAACTTTGGAGCTGCGATGACGTAGCGATGACGTGGTGGGCCGCGGGCAGCCATCGCGATTGGTCGCCGCCTCATAAGGTCCATTCATACTTGGCATGGGCATGGGTGGCCGCAGAACAAGTGAAAAACCATCCTGGACATTTGTCGACCCCCGCGACGGCTCGCTCAACGAAGATGTCGTCCTCCCCTACCAAGAGGAGAGACTCATCCGATTTCTTCATCAAATGCACCTGGAGGAATGATGACTATTTTGTTCTTTTTTTCGATGGCGTTTATGGTTGTTGCTAGTTTTTTGTTTCCGTACCACTGAATGAGGGTTTCGATAACCAGCAAAGTTTAGACTTCAACAACTAGTGCCGACTGAGACAAAAACAATGCACAGACTCAACAAAAGTCAAAAAGAAATTTTTGGCTGAAAAGTTTTGGTAATTGCAGTGGTCCTGATCACGATTCTGACACTTATTCTTGACGTCAATCCAATCTGGAGTCAGAATGGCCCTGCAAGTCCCTCAAACGAATGTACATAGCGACTCCAGTGGGAGAAAGACTTGGCTCCAAATTGGAGATAAATGGCACTAGAGCTGAAAGTAAATGCCATAGTCATGCATCGAATAACATAAGCTCAGCTTTCAGACAAGTTCTTGCTTAATGGTATGTGAAATCGAAATTGCTGAATAGCACCGACTACGGGCTATAACTATTTAGGATGTGCCTATAAATGGCAGATATCCGAGTAAAATTCATTAACAGACGTATATGGAAGCGACAACAACGGAAAATAAAAAATGCAAAAACGTGCAAGCCGAGGGGACATTCGTTACCATCATCTCCCTCACCATCTGTCTTGTTGACAGATCCTCCACGCTATCCACTAGGCCATCCGATCGTTGGCACAGGCACCACTTCGATTGCTTAAGAGCCCATCGAATTGGCCGTCGACTCTTAACTACGTGCCACAAGTAAGACCCCATTGACGACCACTTTTCTCATAGATACCAGTACAACCTTTATAAGGACCCTATAGGCAGCAACTGGCCGAACTTGCGAGTGATTTAGAGCCCATTCAGGCTCAATAACAGTCGGTTTCCATGGACTTTTTTCACTCCATTTTTGGCATTCCCAGAGGCGTTCAGGAAAAATGAACACCAGTTTGGTACTCCATGCACGTAACCCCACATCATGCAAAAAACCGTTTTCAAAAAGCGCTCCACGTCCTGAACGACCTCCCTAGTAAGCAAAAGACTAAGAATAACATCTAAAATCAAGCCAAGGCCTTCCGGAAGATATAGGCCACCTGATATGTGAATTGCCTATAACTAATGCACGACACAGAGATGAGTGAGAGATCAAAATGTTTTTGAAAAACCTGAATGCCTCGCCAATGACATCAAAGAATCTTTAGTTTTTTGTACATATATTTTGAGATTTGCCCTCAAAAAAATGAAATGCCCAGTACGGCTTGTGTAAAGGCACAGAAGAATTGTCTATGGCACCAGGTGTAATTGAGCTGCCTAGAATGTAGCCTCTCTGACGGAGTCCAGTCACTTCTGAGTGAGAGAGGGAGTTTTGGCAGATGATCACTCTTTCATTGAAGGGACTCCAACCATTCATGCACGATTTGCCCCTTATACTGAAGGAGCGACCTATGAGGTGCTCTATATTCCGCCACAAGTTGGTTTGGGTTGCCTTCGAAGGAGCCCATCAGCACATGTCAGGAACACTGGAAACTGGCGAATTGCAGATGGCGTCAACCTCCAGGTCCTCTACATAAAGTGCCTGTTCTGCAACGCCAAGGGTAGACCTTCATTGCTGGAGCAATCACATAGAATTCACAAAAAAGATGGTGTGTGAGCAGGAGTGTGCAGCATAAGGCATAGTAGAGAATTTCTGCCGATACTAAACAATTTGGGCGCCAAGTGCATTGATTTAAACGCACCATTCGGACAAAAAAGATTGGATGAGGTCGCACGAAAAGCTTCCGTGCCATAATGAATAGCGATATACAGAAAGGTGTTTGGGTTAGTTTTACAGTTGTGAAAATTTAGGTGGCAAAAAGAAAACCTCACAGGTGAAAGTTCTCCGAAACCTCCTCCACCAAATGTCCAGTTCGCTTCTTGGAACGGATCGCTCCGGAACGTCTTTGTTGGCGCTCGGTCTCCATGTCGCCATATCTGATGCGATAGGAGGTTATTGAAAGCAGATACTTAACAAATAACAAACTATGAAAGTAAGTGTCAAACTATGAAAGTAATATGCTTGCTGAAACTTTGAGTCTCCTTTACTAGGATTTTGTGCACAATGTACAGCATCTCGAGAGAATCCCATCAGGGAGGGGGCTACACCTTTTCATTCGAGGTAAGGCGGAATGAAGTTAGGAGAACTTGGCAAGAGAGACGGAGGTGAGACGGGGAAGGTGGGTTGTACGAGAGGAGGTTTTCAGAGGAAAAGGTCATAAGTGACACTGCTCTTCCACACCTCACGATACTGTACCCTGCTTGCGCATAGAAGGCATTATTATCAGTGCTGGCTGGGTTGATTATGTGTTTATAATAGGGGAGGAGTACGTTGGAGAACAGTAGGTTTCACTAACTTTTAACCAGTGTGGAATCATTGTGCTGACCCTCTGGATGATTATAGCACTCTTCATTCCACCCCTCCCCTCCTTCACCTGTTGGAGGACTGGCTGTCCAGTTCCCCTAACATGCCCCAGCATCTGCAGCGAGCAAGAC